TCACTTAATAAAATATGAATTGGGAGAGTCTAATTTATCAAAATTCAATATCTTATTTTTCTAGTAAACTTAAAGGAGATACATCATTATAATTATTGAAAATCCATCTTGTTTGGCAAAACTTCTCTAGAAACTAACCATTTTTTTCATCAGTATTTAAGAACGGATGCTTGTTTATTATTTTACGCCCTTGGGCGACCGCAGAAATTTTTCCAGGAAGGGGCAAAGTAACGTGAAATTGTTAATTGAATAAAAAAGTCACATACATATGCTGAGTGAATAAAGAAAGAAGTATATGTTCTCATTTTCCAGGGGGGCAAGTGCCCCCTTTTGCCCTGCCCTCTCCCCTGTGGACGCCAATGTTCACACCTCTAAACAATATTAAAACTTCTAATAGTCATTCAGGCATTACCGTTGCATATGTAATGTTCAACGAAACGTGTTTATTAATAGTTTGTCTGCTAAGGCAAAAAAACAAACAAATAGTTTAGAACATCACCAGTGATATTTCTGTATTCTACGCCCCCCCCCCAGCGGCACAGCGGTATGTCTGCGGTCTTGCAACGCTAGAATCCGGGTTTCGATACCCGTGGTGGACAGAGCACAAATAGCCCATTGTATAGTTTTGTGCTTAATTACAAATAAACAAACTGTATTCTACATGTAGACTGGCAGCGAGCATGAGGGCAGTAAATTAAGTGTTTCTTGGTGACATTAATCTAGTTGTAGTAAGGACTTTAGTTCTAATTGTCTAAATATAAATGATAAGGGCCTCGGAAACAATAGTCTAAGTGCAAATGCGTGAAGGCCTTTGGTAGTCTAAATATAGTGATAGAAGCCACTGACGAATGACAACTATGCTTGTGTCCTAATAGTTTGTGCAAGTATGTCATTTTACATATAATTTTTTTCTGACTGGTGTAGTTTTACTTGATAATTTTTAATCCCTCTTATTACTTAGGCCACATACAGCCCTATTGTTCGATAAGCCTTTATCATTTTACCATACTTCATAAAGTCGTGAAACTTAAGTACGTACAGGTATGGTTTGTTGATGCATGTTAGACAAACAACTCCTACCTGACTACTAAAATTTAAGTACGTACAGATATGGTTTGTTTATGCATGCCAGACAGATAGCTCCTACCTGACTACTAAAACTTAAGTACGTACAGGTATGGTTTGTTGATGCATGTCAGACAAACAACTTCTTCCTGACTACTAAAATTTAAGTACGTACAGGTATGGTTTGTTGATGCATGTTAGACAAACAACTCCTTCCTGACTACTAAAATTTAAGTACGTACAGGTATGGTTTGTTGATGCATGTTAGACAAACAACTCCTACCTGACTACTAAAATTTAAGTACGTACAGATATGATTTGTTTATGCATGCCAGACAGATAGCTCCTACCTGACTACTAAAACTTAAGTATGGACAGGTATGGTTTGCCGGTGCATGCCAGACAGACAACTTCTATCTGACTACTGAAACTTAAGTACATACGGGTATGATTTGTTGGTGCATGCCAAACAGATAGCTCCTACCTAACTACTGAAACTTAAGTATGGACAGGTATGGTTTGCCGGTGCACGCCAGACAGACAACTTCTATCTGACTACTGAAACTTAAGTACGCATAGATTATACCTTGCTGTAAGGCAAGAAACACCCATGGGAGCTCTGGGTCCTTCAGGTACTCTTCCTAGAGCTACTAAAGTGGTAATTGTGGCATTCATCACTAGTTGGATTTCTACTGCATGATATGATATTACTATGGCGGAGATGGTTTCAATTCCCACACAGTGTCCAGGATCAGGGCATTCCAAGAATGGAGAGGGTCTCCCCATGCATAAG